CGCGGAGTCTGCTTGCCTCGAACCGCCCGTAGAGCCGCCTTGACTTCATCGGTTGTGGGCCATCCCTCCGATGTCGAGAGGGCTCGGCTGGCACCCACTTTCTGGATTTGAAAAACGTATTTGGGTGGCAACCAGCCGTCTTGTCCAGGTGTAAGCTGCGCGACTCGTAAAAGGTGATACCGTCGCGTATGCACCGCCGCAAGTCCACCCAGAGCATCAGCTCTGACTCGTTCCTGAGGCCCGACCTTGCTTTGGTATGATCTGAGGGCAAGTCTCCGCTGATGAGATGAATGTGTTGTCTTCGTCCTCGAAACAAGCCTTGCGTACGGATGTTTGAGTAGTGTTGGAGGAAGGTACCGTGGATAGCTGTTGCAGGAGCGGTCTGCTCTGAAAGTCGTCGGAGCACTGCACTGTCATCGATGTGATAGTGTCGTATTAAGTCTTGACTGTGCCCTTGTAGCGAGCGGACGCTATCGATGCCCGACTCTGTGTTGTGTGGAGCTGGTAGCGGCCCTTGGCATTAATGCGGATGGCCTCCTTCACCTCTTCAGGTGCCACTTGATTCTGCCAAAAAGGGTCGGTGGCTACCAAGTCCAGCAGTGGCACATAGCCTGCCGTGTTCATAGGGAGTCCGTGGTGATGTGCTTCATGTCGTAAAACCCTAGACAGGGCATGTGATATCAGCTTTTCACGCCGTGGTCCCAAAGTGCAGTGCCCCGGCGCGGAAGCCGCAGACCGGGGCCCAGAATCAGCTGTGTTGCGCAGGTCCTGCTCCACGCTTTCCGTGACGGGATCTGGCTCAGTTGATCCTGCCTCGTTCGTGTCTGCCCTTTTCTCGGATGACACTTGAGTCGAGGCCGATGCAGTGGCAGGCTCCGAGGTCCTGGCCGGCTTGGGTGTTCGACTGCTATGCTGCCGTTTTCGAGGTGCGGAAGCCGCAGACCTGGTGAGGTTTTGCATTGGGGAGTCGGGCAGTGCTTCCACCTCGATCTCCACCAATTCGGTATCATCATCTGCAAGTGATGCTGCCGAGGAAGCCGGGGTTGAGCGGACAGGTTCAGGCTCTCGCACAGTTCGTCGAGTCTTTGATGGCCTTGCTCCCACTCCTCTAGAGGGTGTGCTCTCCTCGGCGTCATGATCGACAGCTTCATAGCCTCGCGACCGCCTGGAGGAGGATGACGGCTCGGTAGAACACTCCGGTGCGGAGGCCGCATGCCGGAGTGAGGCCGCTCTCGTCTCAGCCTGTCTGTTGCGCTCTCTGGCCGCCTCCTGCGCTTCTTCACGTAGTCGGAGCAAAGCTCCGACTGGTTCGCCTTGCCCGTGCCTCAAATAGGAGGGGAGGCGCCTCGCTGACTTTTTCTTCGAGGAGGGGCTCGGGGCCACGTTAGACAGGACTTTTGACAGGAGCCTAACGTATGTACGCCTTAGCCGTTCTCGATGTGCAGTGATATGTCCTGGGTATTCAGGATGCAGGGTAGTGCTGTTGTTAATGGGTGTGATGTTGTCATGGGGAATCAACCGTGCGAAGCTAAGTTTACCCCTTCGCATCAAATGCTGCAGAATCGCGCTGAGAGACGGTCTCAAGTGACATAGGTGGTTGAGTGTCTCTGGCTGCGTGCTTAGTCCCTGGCAGGGCGTGGAGACCACCCTCCCTCCAGGTCCACGAACTACAGCAGTGGTCCAAGCCTGAGCGAGTAGAGGCAGGTGAAGGGTTATCATGAAAGCAGCATGCTGTGGGCTCTGGTCAGTGAGAATGCTTGCAGCTTGCATCCAATGGAGATTTTTCCGCTGCTGAACACTCCCAGCCTCAAAACTGCGCATGGCGGAGACCCCACGCCTGCTAGAAAGGATCCGGGCGTCCCTGGAGAAGTGCCACAACAAGCCTGGCAAACGCTTCGCGCACTGCCGCACTCCGGAGAGGATTCTGCTCTCTCTGCTCTCGGGGTGCGGAGGCCGCAGACCCTTCGGCAGAGCCTTCAGTCGACGCGGTGGCTGCTCCACTCTTTCTCTCATCTGCCTTGAGCGTCTTGGCACGCTTGGCCTTGGGTTCTTCAGCATTCTCACTCTTGTGGGATCTTGTCGTTGGTTGCGACGCCACCAGGGCAATGAGCGGCCTATTATCCGAGAGATCAACCCCCGTCTGGTCCTCCACTGCGGCTGTAATTGTGCGCAGAGAATTGCTATGGGGCTTATTGTGACTTGTTCACCGTGAGAAGTGCTCTGATCCAAGATTATAGCCACGTGGTTGGGACAGTGGGGGAAGTGTGCTCTCGACACAAGCTGGTGACCTGGTAACAACTTAGGATAGCTGTGCGGTTTCTCAGTGCCGAGCTGTCGTGGTCCCAGCCGAGAACCTTGGTATTCAAGGTACCGAATGTCATGGCATGTCTGGGGATTGCGATGGTCTCGAGATGCATCGAAGTCTGGCCGTGACCATTGCGAGATTGCTGGCCATTTTCGTCTCTCGCACTCATGCTGCAGTCGAAAGCAACACGGGCAGCGTAGCCCGGCTTTGACCAACATTTTGGCCACCCTCCGGCTTTTCTGGCGCGGAGGCCGCTGGCCTTCTACTGGCATATCTTCAGCCGCGCAAATGCTTGTTGGGCGCGGAGTCCGCTGTCCCTCAGTGACGATGCTTCCACTCTCTAGGACCTCTGCCTCCATTAGAGATGCTGATGTGGGTCCGCCAGTGGTGGGCGGTTCTGCCTCCGGGCTCGATTGTCCCAGCAGAGAAATGAAGTCCGCCGAGGCGATGCTAGACGCTTCCTCTAGAGCGGTATAGCCACTGCTGCCATAGCTCCCGCGGCTTCCAGGCGACATTAGAACGCTTGGTGGATTCGCTGTGACAGTCGCCTGGTCGCTGGATGATGCTGCGGCCGCTGCCTTGACCTCTGTCCTCTGCATGGTCTGTTGATCCCGATGGTCCCGATGTATCGGAAGCCGTATAGGTGTACCGGGTTGTGGCCCCAGCCTCTGGTTCTCGCCTGAAGTTGTAGGTTGCTTTGGCGTCGGGGTCGCGGAGACCGCTATCCCCCTGCCTGCAGAGTCCGGTCCCCCCCGTTCAACTGGTAAGTTGATTGGCGTGCCCGGTTGCGCCCTGCGCGCCATGATCACGCAGGCATGCAGGGCTACTGCTCGAGTACCGTCTGGAGACTCTTGCTTGATCTGTTCTCCATCCAGACGCAAACTGGTGATCGGGCAACAATTTAGAAGGTGGCACTGCTCATGAACTACGTTTTCAGCATGAAGTTTCGCATCATGGCTGAGAGTCAAACCCATCTGTAGTTGTGGGACCGGTCGCCCCAGTGGTTGACAGACCTGGGCGGGCAGGACTCGCATGTACATGGCAGTGCAGAGAGCATCACGGAGGGCCGAGACCCAAGTGGTACCTGCATAGGCATGGGTGCCTGCACAGCATCGTTGTATATGGCTGTGATGCCAGGTGCGGCGGATGCACCTTCGGGGGGTGGAGTCCACGATCCCCGTGTTGTGCATGCGCCTGTCGGGTGCTCTGCATTGGTGGAGCTCCATCCTCCAAGTTTGACTCAGAGTCATACGAGGAGCGGAGACCGCTCGCCTTGCCACCTGCCAAATGGTGTTGTGCATCCCGCCTATGGTGGCACTATGTCCGAGGACTCCACAGGCTGCGAAGGCATCTGAGTCTCGTTGTAGACAATGTGAGACCTTAGTGGGTTGCGTGCTCTCACCTGCAGAATTGTGTGGGGACTGAGAGCAGGCAGTGGCGGTCGAGGGCAGTGACCACGCAAATTTGCCTGAATGCCACCAGGGCTGCTGAAGGCTAAGTAGGAGGTGATGACTGTGCCTGGTGGGAGTGGAGGCCACTCGCCCCGCAAGTTCTACCTGGTGTGGAGACCACATTTCCAGTGGCCCGCCGGATCTGACTGTCTGCATGCTACTTAGTGTCGCACCGGGAGCGGAGTCCACTCGCCCTGCCACAAAGTGGCGCTGAGCCGTGTTGTCACATAGACCTGAATGAGTTTGAAGGGCTGTTGGGCATGATGTAGGTTGTGGGGGTAAGTGCCTGACCTCATTCCTAGTCCATCGCTCCCAGATCTGTGATGGTGCTGGAGGTCGGACCAAGTCGGCAATTGAAGGCGCGCTGTGCTGCTGAGGCGTTGGCCAGGGCCAGACGATGAGTGCTGGCAGGAACCTTACCCTCGAAAGCTCTGCGGACCTTGGGCGGATCTGCAGCTGTGCGATCTGTGCTCGACTTTGGGGCCACTGTGTGGCCCCCTTGTTGACCTGAGTTGCATCCACTGATGCATACCTGAGTAAAAGCACTGATGCGATCGGTGCTGTGTTTGGCAAACTGTCGGAGCCTGGCATCGCACAGCTCATGAGAAGCAGCTTCGAAGGCACTTCTCTGGATGGCATGTTGGACTTCCATGATTTGCAGAGTGTGTTCCCTGATCTCTGCATCAGAAAGCAGCAGGCTGCGACGCTTGCGATCCACAAGAGCACGCCCAATGCTGTCGAGTCGCGCCCTTCTTGGCCTCGGCTCCCGGAGGGAGTCGATTCCTGGGTCCATGGCATCAGCGACGCAGCGCTGAAGAAATCCTAAACTACCCCGTATCGGGTGCTGTGGACCCCCTAATTACGACGACGAGCAAAATTTCACGCTTGAGCCGGGGGCTTGAAAGACGGCGTCCGAGACGTTCGCCTCCGACGGAACTCTGTAGAAATCGAGCCCCAGAAAGAGGCAAGGATCCCGCGAACGGCAGGGCGACGTTGTCGATGGCTGACGACGTGAGGCGAAGGGATGAGGGGAGCTTGAAACGTTAAGCGGTCGAGCCGGAGTGCTGCCGACTTATACGCTTGTTCCTACGCGCATGAATGCACTACACAGCATCACTATGCATCGCTCAAGCCAGCACGGGCCCCTCACAGCTCCACACTGCGTAGGACATGCGAATCTATAGACAATCACTGCTACGCATGTTCCCATGACTATATGACTGTTGCAAAACTTGTCCTTGTTGTTATGGCTCCTCTCCGATCCCAAACCTGCCTGTCATCACTGTCGATAAGACCAAGTACGGGAAGAAGGCCACGCGTCCGGCAAGAGCCTGCTCATTGCGAGAGGCTGCCATTCAGCCGGTGTGAGGAGCAAACCTGTGTTGAGGCTGAGAGCCGAACACCGCTGTTGATAGTGGCGGCCGTTGTCGCATAAGAGAAGCTGCAAAACCAATGCGCCAAGTCGTAACCTGAGCCGACGACACACAATCCTTTGCACCAAGTGGTTTGCAGAGAAGCAGAGGTGCCCACCCGTATCGGCAAAGCCAACGTCATGCGTGTCTCCGTAGGCAATGGAATAGCCAAACAAGTAGAAGGCCAGAACACCGATAAAGAGATCCAGCATGTTCTTCCTTGATGTGCTGCACTAAACTGTCGGCAGAGACATGTGAGCAGGTAGTGTACAGGATGTCAGTAGGGGTCTCGCATCATGATATTGGCCGAGTTGTTCGGCTGAGCCTGGGCTGGCAGAGGTGCTTTCACCCAGCTGATGGAGTCCTCTCAGAGGCTGCCGCATACGCAGATTCGAGCATCGCGAAGCCGGATTGCCTAGGAAGTCACGCAGAAAGTGCACGTCGTCTTTGACGAGGGGACAGTCGGAGGGCTGTGTTGGAACAGAACAGGAGGCGAGCAGCATTTGGATGATGCGCGCTCCCATGGTGACGATGAAGGCGACATCCGCACGGTGCCGCAAACGAAAGGGCTGGCAGGTGGGGAGCGCCTGAGGCCAACTTGTGCTGTTCTGCTACGTTCTTGCGCTGTTGCTGTGTTTCACACTCATGCATGGCGTTCGCTCACGTTTAGCAGTCACGGCGTAATACGCACTGCAGGGAACCTTGCTGTATGGCTCTCACATCCATCCCGCGCTGCCTGCAGGCTCATCTGCTCCACCCATCGATCATCTGGCAATCCCTGGGGACAAATTGGTGACTGCGAAGGGGCGGAGGGACCAACCGCAACATGTCCCCATCATGCCGACAAGGCACCAACATCGGAGGTGCCGTGCCCCAGATGGAGGAAAGCAGGAAAGCCTTTCTCGATCTTGGTCCCTCTGAGGTATGAATATACAAGGCCAGGGGCGCTTCTTCGACTCCTGGAGAAAAAAAAGATCAGCTGTGCAGAGAGCACTCCCGCGGGTTCAGTCTTTTTGCCATAGCCCTGAGGGACCCTCGTCAACACGCAGCCTGTGGTCTTCGACCCTTTTGCAGGCTGAGGTGGAGGTGTCCATATGGAACTTGAGCTAAAATCAGTTAAAACCAACGACGCCACGTCAACACTTAAATTCTCTCTCGGCCGCCTGCTCAGCAGCCTCCAGCCACAAAAAGATGCAGAGGCTCCGAGATCAAATGCAACGGGAAAAGAGGAAGAGAGCACAAGGTAAACACAGCACGAGCAACACGACTGGGGGGACATCAGCGGACGGATCTGCTCAACCGGTTGCTTTCCGGATGTGCGCCCCCAGCCAAATCCAACGGATGTGAACTAAAGGCTCCCCTCATACATATCGCACATAGCATGGGCTGCTTCAGGGGGCACGCATTGATGGCCCTCGTCGGCGTGCTCAGCCTGGGCAGCCCGGTGGGACTTCGATGGCCCGTCGGTCATCTTGTCCACATAGGCATTGATACAGGCCGCGCGGAAGGACTGGGAGATGGACTGGGAGATATCCCCACCGAAGACATCCTCCGAGGTAACTCCCTGCAATGCCATGGTCAAGTGCTCGATCTTGGCTTCCAATGCTCGTATCTTCACTGACATCTCCGCGTGATCCAGATCTGAAGCAACGCCAACCGCCTCCGAGAGCAGCAGTAGCAGCAGGAACATCAAACGCTTTCTAAACTGAGGTGAGCACTACAGAAACTTGATCCAAGTTCGTGCTTGCCACCTTCGATGGTGTGATCGTGGGCTGCGGAGTAGAGTCTTCTTCCACTTCCGGAGCGCCGCCACAATAGCAGCAGGAAGATGCTCTGTGGAAGGTCTTGCGGAAACTAGACATCCTGGCAACTCGCACTCTCCGCCAACACAGCTGACTCCATCAATGCATCATGCACAGACCCACACCCATGAGCAACAGAATGCAGCACACCCCCAACCCCAGTGGTAAAGCAGACCTCTTCATTGGGTTGTCACCGGCCACGCTCCCGTCATCGAATTGGTGCTCCCAAAAGTCCTAGGAAGCTGGTCTATCAGTCATGCTGCTAAATTACGTGGCTCACATGTGCTTTTTCAAGGATGCCGCGGCGTCTACCTCTGAGACATGTCCCAACGAGGCTGAAATGAGCTCCAGGAGTCCAGCCCGATGAGCTCGCAAGCCTCGGATGAGCACGGACAAGTCGGACAGCTGCTTTGCGGCTCGGGAAGATGGACTACGAAGCTCGTCTGCCAAGCGGCGCGGCTGCAACGAAAGCCAACGGAGCGGTCGAGGAGAATGACGCTGATGTAGGTGATAGCGGCTGACATGGCCTCAGACTCAGCTTCCAAGCTGCAGCTTTTTCACAGAACCGGAGAGCTTCTGGAAAGGGCCACAACCAAAACAGGACCTGACATATCCCACCGAGCCGCGGCCATGGAAATTACACCAAAAAGCTGGACGGCCAGCAGCTCCCAGCCAGCTTCTCCCGCGCCGTAGAACAAACCCCGCAAGTCGCTTTGGCAGTTCGGCTCGGCAAAGAATGCCACGGCCAGGGCTCCCCACACCCCAGGAGGTCCGTGCACCGACACGGCCCCAACCGGATCATCAATCTGCAAGCGAATCAGAAGCTCTTCGCAAAGCAGAGCAAGCACTGCTCCCACAAATCCGATGAACATCGAAATCACCGGCGAGACGATGTTGCAGCAACCGCAGCTGGCCACCAGCGCAGCTATCACCTCGGCTCGGGGGTCTTCAGCACGCAGAAGGAAAATGGCGAACCCTCTCCCAAACATTTGCAGGACTTTCCCACAGCTCTACAGAAGTACAAGTTCTGGAGAGCAAGAAGCTGCGCAACGATGTACTTGAGACAACCAGCAACAGCAACCACAACATGGCATGCGCTCGCGAGATAGCAGCAAAATGAATGCTTCAACACTTCCGAGAGGCAGCATTGCTGACCTCTGGAACCAGTACGACGCTACTTCTGGTTGTGGCCATAGACCAAAGCATGCCGCCAAGACCGCCACCAGCAGCTGAAAGCAACGTGCATACAGAGGAACGTGCAATCACCAAGTCCGAGTCCTCGCATCTCTGCAGTCATGGGACGTGAATGCTGAGATCTTAGTCTTTTGGGGATCGAAAGGAGTTAGGTCTTGTTCGTCGTGTCAGAGATCCCGTCGTCCTGCGTCACTGCCAAGGTAGAGGCTGGATTGAAGGCCAGGAACCCGACCAGAAGCAGCCAGGTACCAAAAAGCAGTTGAACAGGATGACGGCATTTCACAAACCTCAGTTCGATCCATCTCTCGCGCAGTTGTATCCACGCCCGCACATGGTCGTCATGCTTGAGCTCGGGCGCTTGTCCTGTGGGTAAAGGAAGCTCTGACACTGACCCGGGGGCGCAGCCATGGGGTGTGCTACCAAGCCGCGGCCGGAAGAGGTTTTTCTCCGTTGGCTCCTGGGAACTCCCAGTTCGACATCCCACCTCTCATCTCAGCGGCCCCTGTTTCTTCAGAAGCGGTCCTGTGGAACCTGGTAGTACTTGGAGTCGTACCTCTCCATGAAGAAATGTCGGCCAAGGCCCCGCCAGCATCGGTAATCTGGAAAACGACCGATGCGAGGACCACAGAAACAGGCCGCCACCTGGGCAAAAGAGGCTTTTGATCAGGCTTGCTTGAGGCCTGGCCGAATCAAGCGCTCTTTGTGGCCATTGTCCGAGCACTCGGCGAGGGCACTGACGGCTCCGACCACGTGGACCACTGCAGATCCTTCGGGCGCCAGAGGGAGATTTGCGTGGCCTGGCTCCGTGTCGTAACCTGGCCTGCGAAGTCGACAAAGCCCATCTGTTGCAGCCACCCGTCACCCCAGCACCATCGAGCTGCCAATGGATATGTGAAGCCTCAAAAAGAAGCATGAGGAGAACAAGTGACCTGTATCGTTTACGGAAGGCCCTGCCTGTCATGACGGTGGACAGGATAACATAGGCCCAGAAGGAAATCCTCCCTGCCAGCGCCTGCCACTCCGGATCTCGAAACCGATGCCCAAACATGGCTTCTCTTGCCCCTGATCGTAGCGACTGCTTCATGCTCTGCCAGAGCTTTTCCCCAACTGCCTGACGCCTCATAAGCCTGTTCTTGGGGCTCCGGGCTCCACTGTCGATTGTCGCCGACGTGGTCGCCTTGTGTCAGCTTTGCGACTCCCGCGGAAGACTTGTGGGAATGGCCAGTCTGAGAGATCGGCATATGAGAAACTGCAAAACCAGTGAGAAAAGTCCAAACCTCGGTTCTGGCTAGCGGTGCTTTTACAGTCGAGATCTTGGCTTATGTGGGATTGCTTGCCAAGGACCTGGATCCATAAAGGACGTGGCGTGCGTGGCCCCGTGGGCTATCTCATAGCCCCACATAAGGTAGGCGACTGCCCCTACAAAGAGGTCCATCATGTTCTTCCTTGGCTCAGATCAACTTTCCGAGGGACGTATCGATGTTCTGAGTCATGCCCTTGCCCGACTCAGGAGGCAGCATCATGATGTTGGCAGACCCATTCGGCTGGACCTTGCCACCAAAAGCGCTCCTCTCGACACACAGAAAATCCCATGACGTCTTCTAAGACTGCGGCATACGCGGATTCCAACATTGCGAACCCGGACTGCCTCACGAGGTCGCTGCACAAGGGCGGCACAAGAAAATTTGTGGTTGCCTGCATTGCTGTGAGCCCCGGACATCTGGATGATCCTTGCACCCATAGTCACCATAAACGCATTATCTGCCCGGTGCCGCAGTCTCGTCGGTCCACATTCAGCGGGCGTGATGTCCAGAATGAGTCGGAGCCAGTTGTCATCAGGCCCCATCGCAGGCTTGCCGGCAGGCCGGCATCAATGGCGAGGGCAAGGGCCAGTGATCCGAAGCCAGCCTCCACGCAGCTGCGGAAAAAAGTCCCTTGCCAAACTAAAGCGGCGTGAGACGCCCAACGCTTCGACCAGGGACAGACGCTTACAACCAGCGCTTTTTGCAAGACTTTCACCAAGCGAGCCCCGCGCATCCTTAGGATGATCGGAGCCCGAGTAGCCATAAACTGGGAGGTGAGTGTTCCTCCAATCATGGACGGCAACACCTCCCAAATAAATTTGCCGCAAGCATTCAGGGATCTTACAGCACAGACATCCAGAACTCTCCGGATGTTCGTTAACTCTGCTGGCAGAACGGCAAGAAAAGCTCCGAGGTCGTCTTGCTATAGCTCAATGTTGGGTACTTATCGAACATCCTGAGCTCTTGCATCGTCCCTTAGCCAGAAGATCAGAGAGTTAAGACACTCCCTGGAAAGCTATCCGAGAAAACGTTTCTCGCGACTTCTCCCTCTACCCTTGGAGCTCTCTTGGATAGCTTTCATGCCAGTTCCCCTCGCTGAGGAAGTTGGGTCCCCTTTGGTTTCAGAACCCGGCCTCTGCTGGCCTTTCGAGCGTCCGGCAAAGGTGTCATGCGCCCCCGAACTCCCATGCAGATGCACCTGACCCTCTTCGCAAACTCCACCCGGCTTCCGCTTTGACTCGGCACCTCCGCACCTGAGAACACAGAATCAGAAGGCACATTCCACACCACTGCCACTCTCAGGCGCAGGCGGGACCGACGAGGGGCGCGCCGCGCGCGCAGCGCCCTGCCTTGCCTTCGGCGCAGCGCCCTGCCTAGGTCTGTCGCGGTGATTGCCTGGGCTCATCGGCCGCGCTTTCGGCTGCGCTGTCGGCTGCGCTGTCGGCTGCTTTGTCGGCTTTTGCTCTTTCTTGGGAGGCTGGCCGCCAGGCTGCGCTTGAGAGGCCTTGGTCTGGCCTTGGAGCTCGGTCTTAGGCCCTTTAGGCCCTTTAGGCTTTCTGGACCGGTCAGGGGACCCCTTCATGAGCGCTTTCGGCGCCTTTTCCTCCCTCTTGGGCAGAGCATCAGGGGCTCCGCCGTTCCCCTGCTCCTCCGGACTTGAAGGACCTGGTGCTTGCGGGCTCTCCTGCTGGTCATCCGGGTTCGGAACAGCCGAATCGGGGACGTTGTGCGTCTCCGGCGCTTCCAACCCTTCAGCTCCTCTGTGCCCCAAGCCGCCCAAGCCTGGCTGGCTGGCAGATGTCTGAATCGCCGCGATCTCCGGAGCAAGGTCACGAAACCCGTTCCTGCAAACTCCCACGACTCCCACGCCAAGAGATTCAAAAGTGTCAGCTCTGAAAAAACCGTCCTCGGCGTGGCGCAGCTGGTGGGATCTCCGCTCGGGTCGAAAAGCCGCATCAACTCCTCGTCTGCAACATCTCCACCTGCCACAAGGACGGCCAGAAGCCCCCCAAAGAAGTGCTAATTATGAGAGCCTTGCCTGTCTGATAGATCAGGTTCTCCCAAGCACGGCAGGATGGCAACTTTGTTAACGGAGGATAACGGAACCAAATCAAGGATTGCACCGGCCTCGCTATCACGCTCTGTCAAAGACAAGCTTCGTTCGAAATTGTCGGATCCAGCAACTTCCGCCGCGCGGCTTCTGTGAAGATGTCCTCCAGATTCGATGTCTCGCTTACATATATTATAACACGTCTTCGCTGCGACAGGCAGTGCTCCTTGAGGAAGAACATGAACTCCTCACCTTGGATCTCAAGCGCTCTGCACGCAAGAAGCAGAGCTGTTGCTCCTGAGGTGGGCTCCATGGTTCATGTGCCGGAGATGTGCAAGCTCGTGGAGAAGGACTGCAATCCTTCAAGAAACCATGAGCATGGTGAGCTTGAGCTCATGACATTTCTATAAGTGCACCTCGTCCAATGAAGTCCTGCAAGAACGATGAAATATGCATGAGCCGCGAACACATGCTGCCCTCGGGTGCCTTTTGCGGATCACCCTTGGCAGGGTGCCTGCGCACCCGCAAACGAACGGTCGTGAGGTAGCCTCGGTCAACGAAATTTGATCCCACATGGCTGGGCTTGTTAGGTGCAGCCAGGCAACGCTCCTCACCGCCCATCCACTTGGGCGTTCTGCGCGCCACCCCTGCCTTTCGCTCCTGGCAGTGCTGCCTCGGTTCTCGAAGTGCGTGCCCTCAAATGCCCGACATACAGCCATCTGTCCATCCACCCATGCGTCCTACATCGGTACCTATCTGGTGCCAAGGGTCTCCAGCAAGAAGTCATACCTGCACCATGCATACGCTAGCCCGACATCAACCATTCAACCACGCGTCGCAGAACGATCGCCTGATGCGAAAGTGCTCACAAAGAGGATGTGCCACAGAGTGCAAGTCCATGAGGATGGCTTCAACGGCCTCCCGGTTCCTTCATGGTTTCAGTTTCATGACGGGGGGGGGGGGGCAAAGTCCTTTCCAGCCAAGACTCTCCAGTGAGACTTCGTCACCTGACACAGGGAATTGAAAAAAAGGAAGCCTGCAACGTGAGCGCCAATCTGCCCTTCTCTGGAGACACAGGCCGCTGCCTGTTGCGCCGAACATGGTCTCGAAAGTCAATGGAAGCTTTGTGACATCTCGCTTCTCCTTCCCAGCTGGCGCTGTGCACGTCATGGGGGGAGCCCACCTGACACGCCTCCTCCAAGAGAGGCGTGTCGTCTGCGGGACCCTCGCAGCGCCGGCGAGCAGAGCAACTACGAGGCTCCCGAGTCCGAACAAGGGCGCCCACGGGCTCCGACCGTATGAAACCGTGTTTCGAGTCCTTTGGACGGGTACAAAGGGCAGCTGCTCCCTCGCTCCGCTCGCTCCGCTGCCTGCCATGCAGAGCAGAACAGCACAGAGGCTCACAGAGGATGAGGATGTATGTCAAACAGAGCGCCTGATGCTTGGAGCGCTTTGCTGTCGCCGCAAGCTGGATGCCGACTTCGCACGAGGAGTCCGCGGTGTGGGGATCGGACGTTGAAGCTCCTCCTTCCTGAGTCGGCCGCCCTGGTGCCCTGGAGTCCCAAAACTTTCCTGGCTGCGGGCAAGGCGCGTCGCCGGTGTCGCCTGGTAAGCGCAACTCTTGCCAGTGCTCCGTGAGGACGGCGATTCCCAAACGGCGGGTGAACGCGACGCACCGTATTGGAGCAGAGTGTCCTGGAGACACCAAGGGTGCAACACACTTGGCAGAAGATGTGTCTCTGTCTCCCAGCCTCCTGATGATCTCGCAGGCGGCGCAAAGCCTGAAGGGTGTACACACCATGCGGACATGCTGATGGATTTGGTGCTCACTATGGGGGCCTGAGCTTGTAGAATGCCTGGTTGGCCATGAAGAACGTAGAGTGAACTCCAGTCGCAATAAACCTCCATGACCATCAGAGCGAGGAAGGGCCCAAAAAAAAGTCACAAAAAAAGAGTCGGTCCCCAAGGCTGCGGCCGGCGCAGAGCGAAGAGGCGCCCCAGAACCGCCGGCCCGTGGAGAAAGCGACCGGGTGCGGCTCGAAGAGGCTCGAGGAGCCCCGAGCTGTGGTGACGAGGAGGACCTCCAGAGAAAAAGAAAAGGGCCCGGATCTTTCTGGGCCTCGTCATGTACGTCGCAGCCGACTCGCATGCAGCCTGCCAAAGCTCGGAAGGGCGCCGCCGGTGAGGTCCAGTAGGGGACTTCGCCTTTTTTCTCAAAAGCCAAACGAAAAACCGAAAGCTTCCAGCAGAGACCCTCGGAAACTCACGGCTCACGGAGGCCTCCCGACCAGCTCCTGTGGATCGCAGGCCTCACCTCAAAAGACTCCGCGAGGCATCGCAAGCTTCAACAGCCGACGAAGGCTCACATAAGCAGCAGACAAGCGCAGGGCTTCCGGAACGTAATCATCTTGAAGGCTCCTGAGCTGCTCACAAACCCCCCCCTCCCCCCCAACATGTGCGGGGGTGTGTCGGATGCCGGGCCACTTGGGCAAGCTGGGGGCGGTCGCCCTCGGACTCGCGAGGAGACAAGGTCCTGGGAACGTGGAAAACGCTGTAATGGCTGGCCCCCTGGCCGTGATCCCGCAGGTCCTGGACAGCGGGCGATCAGCTTCAGGCAGAATCGGTGCAGGTAGATCGTCAGCATGCCTCAAGTCCAAGACTGTCGCGACCCTCAAAAATCCACTCCCACGGAATTCGCCGCGTGTCTCTTCCAAGCGAGCCTTTGGTGACGAGCTCTGCAGCCCCTCGGAAGGTCCCGCGGATCGCTCTGGATCCGTGCTCGGAACCTGGCACTCGCGACATCTCGCGACCATAAGCCTTCAATCAGACACCGACTCGCAGCTCTGCCGATGCCACAATGGGCCTCATCTTTCGCGTCCGCCTTTGGCTCGCTTCTCGTCGGCCCTCGGGGCAAAACTAGAGTCTGACTAGACTCGACAGAAGCAAACCGTGCGGATCTGCTCCCTCCGCTGCCGCCACGGCACTTCTGACCAGTCGGCTAATCGAAGAAACGGATAAAGGCCCTGCAGAGGCGTCTGCAGCTGCCCCGTTGTGCAGCTAGCAGGGTGCTGCTCTACGCCAACAGCCCTCCCTTCGGTGCTTCGTGACTGTACGTGGTGCCTATAGTACAAGACAATCGCTTTGCCTGGCAGGAAACTCTTGGCCCACATCGCGGTGTCTTGGATGCAGCACCATGGCACCGGCTTTAGCCTCTAGAAAGACTTCCTCTATAAATGAAGAGTAGCCACTGAATCTTCGAGCACCCTGCAAACACCCCCAATCCAAAGTTTCGACATGAGGACTTCTTTAGAGCCATGGAGTATCTCACCCGCCCCCCTTTGCACAGGCTGTGTATCCTTGCCTTTCCTCTAGCCACTCTAGCCCTGCAGCTTAAGCCTGCATCGGAAGCGGCATCTCTTGAAGGTGCTAGGCAGCAGAAGCGTCACGGCCCAGCGTTTTCCTCAAGGTGTCGTTCCACCTCGATCCAAAGGTCACTCTCGGAGCCATCACCTGCTCTCAGCGCATCGGCACCTGCGGCCTTCAGAAGTCTCCTCCGAAGCTTTGGCCTCAAGCCCAGACTGCTCAAAACATCCCACAGAAAGCCCCACATTGCAGACCTGCCATGGGAACCTTTGCGGCCAAGCATCGCGGCAGCCAGACGCACGGCCTGTTCTCGCACTCGGGCTTGCATCTGGACCTGAAGGTGCTAGCACCCAGACTATCGCCCAGACTTTCTCAGACGAGCTCTGGCCAGTCATCTCTCTCTCTCCGAGGCACTGTGTCCTGCGCCATCGCTTGGATCTCAGCCTCCTGAGTCAAACATGGCTCAGGCTGAGCTGCAGCCGGCATGGTCTCTTGAAGTCAAGGCGCTAAAGTCAGAGCCTCACGCTTGAGAGACCCAGCAAGCCTTGAAAGTTCGGCCATGGAAGTCGAAAAGCGGCTCAGGGCCCTGCAGGCAAAGCGGCTCATAGTCCTCCAACTCCACGGCTTTCCGCTTTCTCTCGTTGAGCTGCTCCACGGCAGCCAGCTTCGGCGCACTCAGCAGCCTCGACGAGTTCGGACACGGAAAAAAAAGTCCAGAAACCCTCGCTCAAGTCATTTCCACCTAGCTGGACCTGGCTAGCTGAACTTGAGACGTCGGTTGTTGCATGGCAGCACAGAGCCGATGGCGGCAGAGCCTGAGGGCCCGGGTGCGCCCGGCGGCGGCAGCGGCCTCGGCACCGAGCTCCCGCTGCTTCAGCATCGCCGCCACGTCGAAGCGCTCCGCCGCCGCGCTGCGGCGCTTCAGCGCCGCGAGGAGGGCGGCTTGCACCAGGCTCGTCGCCCAGTCCTCCAGACAGCGCTCCTCGCGCTCCTCGCTCACCTCCGGTCTCTCCTTCGCGTCGTTCGTAGGCCTCTCCGGCCTCTCCTTCGCTTCCGGAAGCTCTTCCTTGACGTCCCCGCTCCTCGCAGCGCTTCCCTGCCAGAGCAGCGGCTTCGCGGGCACCATCCTTCCACTCAGAGCGTCCTTGTAGCCGTGGCGCTTGGGCACGGGTTGGTCCTGGCCACATAGGCTCCCGGCCTCTGCTCGGCCCAGAAGCGTGAGAACGCCAAGTCCCACTTCCTCGGCAGCACCCTCCGACATAACTGCAGACTCTTCTGGGCGGTAAAGGAAGTCCCCTCGCGGCGAGGACAGGAAGGCAAGAGTGGCAGATATCAGATCGTCGGAGAAACCAAAGTCGGGTTTTTGCCTTCCGTGCACCTCCTGGTCGCCAAGGCTGTGCAGCATCGCCTCTGTCTGTGAGGAAAGCTGGGAACGAATCTCGTGAACCTCCGCAAGAGACCCCTCCAGCCCAGGCTTCAGCCGGCACTGGGCGCCTCCAAACTCCACCTCCTTGTCGGAAACCCTCTGCGGTGCACTCGCCCCGAAAATGCAGGCATGAGCACTGCTGACCGTTGACTCCACCTCACCGCGCACTCAGGGCTTAAGACAACAGGTCACTGACCATTCCGGCTGCTTCTCACCTACGCAGAATAGGTCCTTGGCGCCTCTACTTCGAAGCCGTCGATGGCCTCGCCACGCAGACGCCAGCCATCGCCGGGGCGGGGGACCAGAGCAGCGCAGAGAGCGGCCAGAACGCACTCCCGCCTGCCGTCGCCATCGCCCCTGAGACGAGACTCAGAGTGTCAAGCGAGACAGCAGCCAGTGTGCCAGGTTTTTCTAAATCCGCGAGAAGGGAGAAAGTTCTGCGAACTACAACTCCACGACCTGCAAGACATGGACCTGACCCGGCTGGTGAATGCTGGCTGAGCTACAGCATGGCTTGCACCGTCCATGCTCTTCTTCTTGATGTACCTTGTGGCATATGTTCCTCTCCATCCAGAGCCGCAGCTACATCATCGCCACAATACCCTAAGGCAACCTTGGCATAGCGGCACATTGCCATGACTCTGGCATCCAGCGCCTCCCAGACGACATCACCTTTACGATGTCTCTCCTTGTCCTGAGCCTTCCACTCCTTCCACTTCAAGTAAGCCGCCACCATGACAAAGTGCCCCGACCAGCACGTCTGTGATCCGGAAGGGGGTGTCTTCCGAACCTTTTGCCAAAGCTTTCTCAAATCCTTGTTTGGCGTCAGTCCGCCAGGCAGCGGCTGCAGCAAGACGATCGCAGCAGCGACGGGCACGAGGCATTTCCAGGCGGAGCCGAAGAAAAGGGCCCTTAAGACCGCCGGCGACAGGGACAGCGGAAGCGGCGGAAGCTCCGAGGGAAGCTCCGAGGGCGGCTTAGACAAAGCAGTGGCCATCCAGGTCCCTAAAACCGTGAGCTGCACTTGGCCGTAGAGCTCTCCGGGTTCCAGGGCCCCGAGCTGCCAAAGCCGTCTCGAAGCCGAGAGAACCGCCGCATCAGCTTGGACCTGCATCCGCTCGACGAAGCTCGAGCCATTGCTCTTGTCTGCGTGTAGGAAGGAGAGGAGCTCCCCCGTGAGAAGCGTCAGGCCACCTGTTGAAGCCTCGGTCTCTTCATCATCTTCATCCTTCGTGCCGGCACGGTCGGCGAGATAAGGGTCCAGTTCGCATTTTGGTTCCAAACCTTCATCCCATTGTTCGCAGCTTTCGAGATCTGGAATTTGGTCTGCACTCGCCGACGCAGTCTCATGCACCTCTTCGTCCTTCACCTCTTCGTCCTGCAGGGTGGACAGCCCTGCCCCACGAGCCCTGACTCTGCGCACACGATGAGTCCTCTGCTCGGTACGGAGCTTCATGCCACGCATCATCCCAAACGTGCTCACGACATGCCCCAGCTGCCATGAAATTGTCAAAACATCATCGGAACAGGAATAACACACTCAAGTCATCATGGACCTTCACCAGCCTGCATACTGAACCTCCCCATGAGCCCCATGAATCTTCCACATGCTGTCAAGCTTGCTGTTGGAGCACTCAGCTTTGATCCATCCGCATACTTACAAGTTGTCACGGCATGGGCAGGCCCAACTCAACGCTCGTGAAGATTTGTGCTTTCCATAAGTATTGACGCCTGCCCCTCACCAAAGCTGGACGCAACTCCTTAAGGAAGTATGAGAAGTTGATCTGGCATTGCATCGTCCTGCGCCTTTTGTGCAAGCACTGGCGAAGCTACACCGGCGCACCAGAAATTAGATGTGCCAAAGTGAGATGACCTCAGGCCTGTGTAAGCCTTACAAGCTATCATGCAAGGTGGCTGCTAAAACCACCTGTGTTGTCGACGTGGCCGTTTCGACAATCCCTTTGTTTACATTCCTCACATGCAGGTCGATTTGCCTGTAAACCGAAGGCCCTCGCTTCGACAACACGGATGATTCAGCGACGCAGGCATTAACAACCTACGAACCGGCGATGGAGAATCGAGAGCTTCATGCATCCTTCTCCTCGAGACCCCCAAGGCTCTCGAACAAAGCTTTCCGCCGCTGCCTCCACGACGAGGAACGAAGACCATGTTGCGAAACTGGGCAGCGCAGGGCACCAACTCTTTTTTCGGAAACCCTGGCCACCTGTGCTGCCAGGTGAAACAGCGCTTCCTTCCTTGAGGCGCGCGCCAGACAGGAGTGGAAGCGAAGCCTAACATCTGCCTAAGACTCTTTCGGCGCCTGCGCAATCAGTCCTCCGGACTCTGCTAGACACCAGAGTGGCCCAAGTATCAAAAGACCATCAAAGCCTCCTAAGATTATGCTGACTCAAGGATCCGAGCTTTTACCCCCAGAAAACTGAACCTGAGCCGCACAATCCGAAAGGCTTGTTGCTGTGGGCTTCCGATCTTTCTACAACGCCTAGAAGCAGCCCTGCCCTTTGTCTACTAGGAGCATGCTAGAAAATGTCGCGGGTCACAGCAGCTGGCAGCCTGTCGTCGCATCCTGCACAAACCCGGAATCTGAGAAGCACAGCTTCATGTTCAGTGCAGCCTGCTGCGATGCCGGCAATGCTCGCACGACCTTGCTCTCGGGCTGCTATTCCGCAACGGCAACTTTTGCACTGACCTGAGCCTTTGACGGCAGCAAGTTCCGAACGGAGCTCTTGGTGAGCTTGCCTCGAAAGCGCCGCTCGGCTCTAGATCTTCATGGAATCTCATCCCTTTCCTTCCACTCCGTCCCGACCTCAAAGCCGACACAGACTCGCGGCCTGAGGACAGAAGAGAGAGGAAGAAAAATCCAGGCTCAGGGCGGAAGTCCGAGGCCCTCAGCGCGCTGCAGAGCTGAAGCTCTGGGCTGACGCCGCCTTGAAGGGCCGGTAACCTGGACTCGAAGTCCGCAACCCGAGCAGTCCTTTTCTTGATCGGAGACCCCCCTCGCCTCTCCAACTCTTCCAGCTGCTGAGCCTGAAGCAAAGCTTCGAATCCCCGAAACGCCTCCAGAGAAAAAGAAGAAAAACCTTGACCTGGAGGCGCTGCTCGCTCTCCAGACGCTCCAAGTCGAGGCGGTACAACTCTGCACGAAAATCCTGCTGAAGGCAGACGGTCGGAGGCCAAAATTGCGCTGGGACTGCTTTTGGCATCGCCTCCTCCCACTGCGTGTCCGGGACTGGCAGCCCCTCACAGCACACAAAAAGCTCGGCCAAGTCGCAACAGATACTCTGTGGGGCAGCTTTCAGATCTTCCTGCCTCGGCAAAGTCCGGGCTCTCGTCGAGCTGGTCGCATGCACTCGAAGCCCCATCCGGGCCATCTTGCCCCGAACACTCTGAGGCCCTGTGCAAGGTCACAGAATGTCACAGAGGAATGCCTGTTTGGACTCGGGTACACTGAATTTGTTATATTCTATTCTAGTCTATCACATCTGAAACCTCCCCCGTGCTCTTCTGACCTCGTCGACTCCGGGACCAGCGAGGCCAGCGCTGGTGCAGTGGCCGAGCGTCGGAAGGCTGCCTCTCTCGAAGCGACCGTATCCCCTTGAGTCCCAAAAGGGGGGGGTCCTTTCAGCAGAGCCTCCAGTCGCTGTCTCCACTCTTCCAAGCCTGGGAAGGCCAAAAGGAGACACCCAGGCGCTCCACTCCCCAACTCCTCCAGGGCTTGGTGCTGCACCCGGCGCAGGCTTTGTCGGTGGCAAGAAGCCATCTGTCATTGCCTGCACACAATTGCACACTTGAAAGCCGAAGGCACTTTGGAGACGGCAAAAGGCCTGGCCTAGTGCTGTCGCAGCTGCTTCATGCTCGCAGGCTCGCAGCTTGGAGCGGGAAGGTGCTGTGCTAAGTGGCTATGCACGAGTCTGATATCTGCTGCATGACGGGCTTTGACTGCTTCTTCTCGCAGTTCCTTCGAGACGGCTGCAGAAAGAGCCGAGCCATCGAACCAAACAACGCATTGAGGCCTCTGCTTCCCTCTGGTTCCCGCCTGATGGACCGGCGGAGTTGCTGCGTGTCCGTCTCCAGCTCTTCACCTGCTCACACAGGGCGATGAGTCAAATCTTCTCTGGAGAAGCTGCTAGGTCCCTGAAGAGGCCCCGCAACACTCGAGTCGGATGCACAATCGAGGGGTCTTGACCCAACAGGACAAACAGCTCTTGCAGCAACCCATGCCGGACGCCGGTTCGATGAAAGAATAAATAGGGTGCTTGACAAAACCTCCACTGTCATATCATATCCTCGATCTTCATTTTTGTCACGTCCAAGCCCGGCAGGGACGCAGTCTTGCTCGGCTAAGCGCCAGCGCTTGAAAGACAAACCATCCTCGAGGATCGAGATTCCCGACGCTTCGAACAATAAAAAGTCTTCAAGATTCCGGCGACCGTCCTGAAGTTTAAAAGAAGTCCTGAAGCCTCAACGACCCTGGCGCCAGCACGATGCCTAGAGGCTCTGCAACTGCTCGGAAGGCCGGAGGCCTTGGCAAAGGGCGGTCGGTGGCCGAGAGTATATCATATAATATACATTATATAAGTATATACATGTATACATATTATTTTATATATATATATATATATATCACTCTTTCACTCTTTCGGGCGTTGTGTCTATCCGACGCAGCCCTTATGGCATGCAGTAATTAAATTGGGTGAAACAAGTTGGAGGGCGAGGCCTGCGAACCTACCCACAGGGTGGTGCGACGTGCGACCAGCGTCCTCTGCAAGCTGTACTCTCGGGATCCGGGTCACGAGTCTGACATCTTCCCCCAGTAGCGGCTGGACAGGTCAAGCAGGCACAGATACCCCTGGACCAGAGGCGGAGGCAAAATCGAAGGATGTCGCAGGCAAGCTGGAGTGCCTGAAAAGCGTCACCGGGTCGACTAGTGTGGGGCTTGTCAGCAATGAAAGGCTGTGGAAGTCCAAACAAGCTCAAGCAAAAACCACACTGCACGGGCTCCTCGACGAAGAAGTCCAATTCCTCGCCTGCTGCAACTCTTGCCAGGGACTCCGTGCGTGGATAAACCACGGAGGTATCGCAAAGGTGTGCAAAGGCGATAGAGGCGGTGGAGTGCCAACAAAGACCACGGTATGATCGGAAGTCCAATCAGTAGGGTCCGGCAGGTGAACGCCGGAGACCTCCAAGATCGACAGCGACGCGACACCCTGCCGAAAGGTGTTGGCATTGTCACGGACACCTGATGGGGTGGGGACAAGCCACTCCGCAAAGTCCACAGCACAAACCCACTCCGAGGCTCGCAAAAGGAAATCCAAAGAAGCCTCGATCGGATGGGCACGCTCGGCTCAGCTTAGGATCTGATCCCTCCAAGTCTCGGCTGTCAGACGCAATCGCTTGAGTGGAAGGCAGACACAGGAGAAGGATAAACGGACACGCGCCCAGGCCTCGTCCTGTTCTGAGACAAGATCAAGCTCCTCGAGGTGCAGCAGGCCGAGGCAGTCAAGTACTTCGGCCGATGGTCGGTCAAGTTCATCATCTACGTCATCATTGACTTGGTCCTGTGACGGGCCTAATGCCTGCAAGGTAGGGGCGCAAAGAAGGTGTTCCTTAGGCGCTTTCCTGCTGCCTTGCCCTGGCGCTGGGTCGACTCTGTCCGGCTGGCTTGCAAGGCGTCGCCGGCAAAAGGCCGAATGGTGTAGATGTCGGCACAAGCGAATGGTCGAGGCGTAGTGTCGAAGGCAGCACGGACACTGCAGTCCTTCCGCCAGCCTCCTCGCTTCTCGAACCCTGCCATGTCGCTTAAAAGCATGCACAGACCATGATTGGAAGTCTTGGGGAACAACGCCGCACTGGGCACACACCTCCTGTGTATCATGCTGGGACACCAAGTCAACGGGAGCACAGCCCCCTGCAGCCGGATTTGTCGAACAGCGGCATGCTGTTCGACGTAAGCCTGCCACCTTTCCTGTTGCAGAGCCGCTTGCAGGGCTGAGCGCAAACGGGATTTCCAATAACCGGGGCGGGTCTTACATTTAGTGCGCCATTCAAACCACGCCTTTGAAAATTTGTCCAATCAGGAAAATGACGTCCACCATCAACCTGCTGCCAGAGCCACTCGACAGACTCGCGCACCGTAGCGAGCCAGTCGCGCTCCCAGTGCGCAAGAGCCCACAGTTCCGGCACATGCACAAGCGCACGCATGCCAGGAGGTTACGCAATCTGGCCACATGAAGACACGTCGCCGCGCTAGGGAGTCCAATAAGGGCAAGCACCTGGGAATGGCCTAGATGCCAGGCATCAGCGAGGCTGACAGTGGGTGCCTGCATTTGGCACGCCATTTGCCGCATGGCGGCATCAAGCTTGCCAAGGTGCTGTCCTTCAATACCGGTCCAAGTGCCGGCCCCGTGGAACAACACAGTCGCGATCAAGCTCTGAAAAAGGGTGTCCTTATCGGCAAGGGAGACGAGGGGGGTCTTAAACACCT